GCAGTCTTTCCTCGTTATCTGGGATGGATTTGGTCTAGACTCCCCTTTGGTTAAGTCCTTACTTAATGTCATAGTAGTCACATGTAATGTCACAATCTTTTGTGTGTTTTTAAAATCTCTGGAGGCTGGGAAGTCATTTAAGCTAGAGCACTTCCATAACATATGCAGGAAATATTACCCATAATACAAAGGCTAAAATGTAGCTCTGGTCATGGTACATGCCAATGATCACAATACTAAGGAGGTGGCGATGGGAGTATCAGGAGTTCAAGGCCATCCTCAGCTACTTAGCAAATTCAAGGGTGCCTGGACTACATTAAGCCCTGTCCCAAAACAGATGAGGAAGAGTAAAAGGAGGAGGTGGGTGAAAGGAAAAAAAGAAAGAAGGAAGGGAGGGAGGGAGATAAAATAAACACTTAAAGCTTTTACACTGCAATGGTAAAACGGCAAGAAAATTGAAAGATCTAAATACCTCAGTCCCAGTTTCTGTTATTTTTGTTACCCAGGCATCCTCTCAGGAAGGGAGGCACTGGCCCACAGGTAAAGGGAGTCACACTACGTTACAGGCAGAACAACTCATTTCATAATCTCAGTTCTCTATATACATCCACAAATTCAACACAATTCCCAACAAAATCCCAGTACGCTGGTTTGTGAAAAGTGAACTGAAGTGTGCCTGAGTCCATGTCCTACTAGAACCTGGACAATAGGGAAACATCACCCACTGTGGACAGAGTGGGCAGCCATGACTGAAGGATTGTCAACTGGAGGTCATCCCCGGGTGTGACAACGCATGCCTACAATCCCAGCAATTAGGAGCAGAAAGCCAGAGTCTCAATAGTTCATGGCCAGCTTCAGCTACATACCAAATGCAAGGTCCCTCTGGGCTGTCTGAGTCCCTGTCCTGATGGTTAGGAGTGCTCGCTGCTCTTGACCTACACTGGACAATTCACAACTACCTTGAACTCCAATTCAATCGAGCACCCTCTCAGACCTCCACAGGCACCTTTACCAACTTATTACACTTATGATCAGGCACACACACACATATACATAAAGATAAAATAAAAAAATATTTTGAAAGACACACTATGTACTACAGAATTCTGGGAGTCCCAACTGGATTTACAATGAAGATATAGATATATTTCTCAGTTAAAATAGAAAAACAGCTTTACCCGCTTACAGTAGACAGGAGCAATCATAACTGACCATACACATTCATTTGAGTAAAGTTGGCAGAGATGACTCGGGTTCTTCCACCAGTGATATCACTGGGGACCCTGCCCTGGGGATGTGAACCCCTTCGATGTGGATAAAGGTGCTCAGAGACTGCTCTGGCAAAGGTTTAGGGAGTGGGTCAATGAAGCCTTTGGGCCACACGCTCATCGACATCGGCACCAGCTGGCGCAGGGGCACCGGGTCACGCCAAGACAGAAGCGGGGACTTGCCCCCAGCTTTCCACTTCGGGGAGTTGTGGGAGAGCTGAGTCGGGAGGACCATCATCTGGGGAGCCGGTGGCTTCCTCTCTGCTGACAAGCTGGGCAGCACCCGAGAGGCCGGAAATGGGGCTGCGTCTGGCCTAGGGTGGAGCACAGCTTTCTTCCGCAAGCTGCACCCGCACAGGCAGACCTTAGAGGTGTGCTCCTTGGAGGGGCAGAGTTCATTCTCCGGTGATTGGGAATGCTGGGCACCCTGGGTCCCCTGGGTCTGGGTCTTCCACCTCAATCCCTTGTAGAGTCGAGCTTTCCTTTAGAAATGAATAAACAAATAAATGAATAAATGGGTAGCTGAATAATAAACAGTAAACGAAAAGGCAGCATAGTTGGAAGGTGGGGAAGAAAGACAGGGATCCTCAAAACAGGATATCCCAACCTGACTTCAGACTCGTTCTCCGCCTTTCCCAAGAACATTCTCTTCTCTCTGCAATGGAAGGAGAGAGGCAGATGCTACCACAGGGTAAACAGAGAGGGAGCTGGGAGCAGGAAGTGGGTCATAAAAAGGAATAGCAGTGATCCTGGGGTTTCCAGAGAAGGAAGCAGGGAAGCTGGGACAGACATCCTATTCCCTCAGGCTGGAGGGTCAAATACTCCAACATGTCCTCCAAATACTCGGTGGGAGAACGGGTCAGACTCCCTCCTTCATAGAGTCTTTGATGGGAACTGGCATGTGACTGAGGGCAAGAGCGGAGAGGTGGCGTGTGGGACAGACAGGACAGTTCAAGCTCCCTACCTCTAGCACAGGCTTTCGAGTCTGTGAAAGTCCAAGAAGGACATATTGTGAAGAGCCCCTCCCCCTGCTGTGATGTCACAGGTGATGAGATCATAAGATGATGACATAAGCCCTAAGAACCCCTGTGTTCCATTACTGAGTTCCCGGCTTCATCTGGAGTCTACAAGATCCTGCTACTCCTAGTACAGTAACAGCATTTGCCCAGGCAGTGCAGAATGACAGTCTGATAAGAGCTGTGTTAATCCCACAGGGATGATGTACCAATTACCTCAAACTGGTGGCTTTAACCCAAAATAATCTGTTCCTCTCACAACAGAAGAAGCCCGATGTTGATGGGAAAGGTATAGGCAGGGCTGGCTGACTCTAGAGGCTCTGAGGGAAAACCACTTCATTCCTCTTCTCTGGTTCCTGGTGGTGACCCTGGACACGTGACACTCTGGCTGGCACTTGTGACAGTGCTGTTTTTATTTTATGTGTTCTTGCTGATGGGAATGTGTGCAGGTGTCCATAGCAGAGGCTAGGAGCACGTTGGGTCCTCTAGAGCTGGAGTTAGAATTACAGGCTGTCTGGTCCTCTGGGAGCGCAAAAAGCACTCTTGACCCCCGAACCATCTCTAACCCATGATGGTTAGTTTTCATTACTAACGTGATGCCCTCTGAATCACCTTGGAGGCAGGCTTCTGGCCATGTCAGTGGCAAGACTGTCCAGTGTGGTGGCACCAGTCCCTAGGAAAGGGGTTTCTGCAGAAGAGAAGAGTGCAGAGTCAGGTGAGCACTGCATGTATGCATGAATTCATTGCTCTCAACTACAGATGTGTGACTAGCTGCTCCAAGTACCCACCGACTTTATTTCCCCGCCATGATAAATGACAAGCCAAATACACCCTTCCTCCCTTAAGTGTTGTTGTCAGGGTATGTTCCCATCACAGCAACAGGAAACTAAGACACAGATTTACTCCAAACTCTGCCCCACCACCACCACGTGGTGTTTAGATGATCTTCCCGGAGTGCCTGGAGTTAGGGCCACCATAAATCAGTATGACTTTGTCTTAACTCAGATGATTACATCCGCCAAGACTTTCCCCAAGTTTTCATTCTGAGGTTCTGAGTCACATGAATTTAGGAGAAGGGGACTATTTATGAAAATATGGACATGTAAACCTGGGAGGTTGCAGATCCAAAGAGCTGTAAACATCCCCAGACTTTCAGAGCATAGAGAAGGACCCATTGCGGGAACGGAAGGGAGAGCAGTGTAAAGGAGTCCTTATGGGGACAGCTGTGATCAAACCCAGTCATCAGGATCCACCTCCCCCCTTCTAAGATGACAAAGACACCAGTACGGTAACAGTGACATCAGAGATCGGGCAGTCAGGCGTCCTGAGAGCGGTCAGCAGACTGGCATGGACAAGATAAGGGCAAAGACTGTGGTGAAGAGGAGGAGGGTCTCCTATCTGTGGGGGAGCTCCAGGCATCTCTCCTTGTTGGGTCTCTGTGGGTAAAGAATGGACCCAGCTCCTGGAAAAGGAGGCATGATGAGGTGACATCTGAGTGCACACACTGACCCCAACCATACAGAGCCTTGGTCATGATTTGTGGCAGATACCCAACTTTGAAGGGATTTTATTTCATCAACTTCATTTTTAAAATCTCTGTGTGATATGTGTTTGCACATATTTGTGTATGTGTGTGATGTATGTATGAATATGTTTGTGTGTGTGAATATTGGTATACACACATGATACAGTGCACATGTGAAGGTCGGAAACTCCAGAGTGCCCCCTCCCTTCCACCTTGCTTGAAAGAGTGTTTTATTTGCCACTGTGTATTCCAGGCTGGCTAGGCCTTAAGTGTCTGAGGATTCTCCTGCCTCCATCTCCTGCATTCTAGATTGCAAGGGTGCATTTCCATGCAGAGCTTCCTCTCACTCTTTCATTCTTTTCTTAATATTTATTTTATGTATATGGGTATCTGCATGTGTGTCTGTACACCATGTGTGTGCAGTACCCACAAATGCCAGAAGAGGGCATCAGATCATCAGGAACTGAATTACAGATGCTTGTGAGTTATCATGTGGGTGCTGGGACCTGAATCTGGATCCTCTGCAAAAGCAACCAGTGCTCTTAACCTCTGAGACATCTCTCAGTGCCTCACTTTTTAACTTTTACCATTTGTCCCCCTGAAGTTGGCCTAGTCAAAGTCACCTCCTCCACAGGGACAAGTCTAGAAACCTATTCCAACCTCCTGAAGCATCTCAGGCTGTTTTTTTCTTCTTTCTTTCTTTCTTCCTTTCTTCCTTTCTTGAAACCCTTGGTTCCCAGTGGCTCCTGAGCATCCTTCTCCTTCAGCTTCTTGCCTCCTTGGTTGGGCCTGCTGGCCTCTAAAGTGCTTCCTCTTCCTCCCAACCTCTGAAGAATGGAATCCTCCAGGACTGCATCCTTGGCAACCCTCTGCTCGCTCTCCATGGGATGCCTTCAGTGAGCTTGTTCCTTTCCTCCAGCTACAGATCCAGTGGCTGAAAATAATAGAGAATAATTTTATTTATAATGATTTATTTACTTATTCCCTCACACATCTGGAGGCCAGAAGTCAGAACACTCGCATTTCCACCACCCTTGCAGGGCTCTAGGGAGGCTCCCTGACTTTCTTCTGCAGTTTCTGGTGGCTGCCAACTGTCCTTGCTGTTCTCTAGCTGTGGCAGCTTCACTCTGCCTTCTGTCTCTGTCTACACGGCTCTCTTTCCTCTGTATGTCTACATTTGTTATTTATTCATTTCTTCTCCCCCTCCTATATTTTTGTTTTGTTTAGATCTATGTAGCCATGGATGCCCTAGAACACTCTATGTAGACAAGACCAGGCTGGCATGGAACTCACAGAGATCTGCCTCCCTCTGCTCTCCAAAAGCCATGATTAAAAAATATGGTCCTCCATACCCAGCTTTATTTATGTTATTCTTAATTGTGTATGTCCACTTGAATGCAGGTGCGCACAGAGGCCAGAAGAGGGCGCCAGATCCCCTGGAGCTGGAGTTACAGGAGGTTGTGAGCTGCTCAACATGGGCACTGTTAATCAAATTCTGGTCCCTTGAAAGAGCAAATAACTGAAGCACTGAGCCATCTCCTCGGTCCCCATTCTTTCTTCTTAAAAGGACATCAATTGTGCAATTGGGGAGGAGCTTCCTAATCTAGTACAACTTCATTTTGGTTACATTTGGGAAATCCCCTAAATCCAGATCAACTCACATTCACAAGTTCTTGGGAAGCTTAAGTTTGGGGGAAGACATCACTACTCAGTCCAGACAGTGAGGTCATTGGGTCCCATAATTTTTTTTCAAACCCCATCTAGACAGTCCTTACTCTAGAGTTCTTGTCTGCCTGGCATTTCCACACCTCAACTCATGTGCCCAGCATGTCTAGGTTCTGCGGGAGTCTTGCTTTTATTGTCCTTTCCTTTCTTCAGAAATGGCATCATGGCTCAGTGGTTAAGATCACTGGCTGCTATTCCAGAGGACCTGAGTCCAATTCCCAGCACCCACATGGATCTGATGCCCTCTTCTAGCCTCTGCAGGCACCAGGCACACACAGATGCAGACAGATATGCAGGCAAAACACCTATTGGCATAAAAAAATAATTTTTAAGTTAAAAAAATAACCCATCCCAACATCCACCTTATCTGGAGCTGCTGGAGCATTGAAGGGGCCAGACCTGCAGGATCTCCATGATACAGGATATCCAAGAGAAGTCCCAGTGAGGGGCCAGTATTGAGGTTGTAGCAGAAGCGAGAGGCCTTGAACCAGACCAATAATTCCTGGCAATAAACACTTACAAGAGGCATGAGCTAAAAGGTACACTATGTGACTCACTCTGTCACACTGCAGCTTCCATGCTGAGGTGTGTGTGTGTGTGTGTGTGTGTGTGTGTGTGTGTGTGTGTCTGGTTGTTTGGGTTTTGTTTTGTTGTTTTTCCTGTGAACTTTGTTTTCTGCAGGGAAGTTGCAAGGGCAGAGGGCGGATATAAAAGGATAGGAGGACGGATGAGTTGGGTTGCATGATATGAAACTCATGAAGAATCAACTCAAAAATTAAGTGGGCTGGGTGTGGTGATTCACACCTTTAATTCCAGCATTTGAGAGGCAAATATCCGTGAGTTTGAGGCCAGTCTGATCTACAGAGCAAATTCTAGGACAGGCAGGGCTACACAAAACCATCTCAAAAAAACTAAAAAGATAAAGATTGGCTTTACTGCAAACAGATGCTCAGGCCATGGAGGAATCCAGACTCCTCTTTATAATAGTTCGCAGAAGCTCACACTGGCTCTATTTCCAAACTATGCATCATGGACAGTCAGTCATTCCTCACCTCCCGATCCCTACCTTCCAAGTCACTGTCATTGTCAGCAGCTTCAAGTCATCTTGACCTTGGTACATCACAATCTACCATTCTCCCCATTGTGCTGCCCCCCACCAACTAGCCAGATGTATCCACATGATCTGATTGCTTCCTCAACCACAGGTGGAAGCTCACCAAGCGTCCTATCCCTGAGTCATCATTTCTGGAGAATTTGAAATATTATCAATCCACAATTTCTTGGCATCAATAGGAGGCAGCTACCCTCCCGGTGAGGCTGAACAGGAGCTGGTATCTATATGCTCCCCTGGGGACAGGAAAACCGTATATAACTGATTTTGAAGCAACTTTCTTCTTGAGCCCCAAAGGAAGGGCTCTCTAAATCAGTCTCTTGAAATAGCCAAAGACAACCTGTCCTCAGTGGAATTATTTCCTCTTGCCATCCCATACTCATCAGAATTTTTTTAAAATTGTGTGTGTGCATGTGTGTATGTGCATGTGTGTATGTGCATGCATGTGTGTGTACATGTGTGTGCGCACACAAATACAATGCCTTCAGGGCCCTGAATAGGGAATTAGATCTGCTGAAAATGAAGTCACAGGTGATTGTGAGCTTTCCTCCTCCCCCGCCTCGCACCCATCCCCCATGAATGCTGAGACCCCTGCTCAGCTGAGCTCTCCCCCACCTTGCTTTCCCACCACCCCCACCGTGAGTGCTGAGACCCATACTCAGTGGCTAGTGTGTGAGACCCATACTCAGCTGAGCTTCCCCCACCCCTTGCATTCCCATCACCCCCACCTTGAGTGCTGAGACCCGTATTCAGCTGAGCTCTCCCACCTGGCACTTCCCCTCCCCCCTCGGTGCTGTCTTTTGTACTCAACAGTTGGTACTCTTGGCCACTGAGCCTTCTGTCTTTCCAGCCCCATCAGTCAGGACTTTGTCCAGTTTTCCAGTTCAAGCACGCTTCCCCTGAATGTCGGAGCCTGTGTATCCCCACCCAGTGCTAAGGTCTGCTACACAATTCTTAAAATGTATGCATTCCAACAGGATGGGGTTTCCTTCAACAAATTGAGTGGGAAGCTGAAGATAAAATAACAAAGAATCTGAAGTTCCGACTTCAGAGAAAGACACATAATTGACAAATAAGCCAGTGTTATATTTTTATGAGCATGGGTGTTTGTCTCATGTATATACGTTCCCCACGTATGTGCCTGGGGGCTGAGGAAGGCTGAAATGGCATCAGGTCCCCTGGGAGTGCAGTTACAGACAGTTAGTTGTGAGCCACCTTGTGGGTGCTGGGAGTTGAACCTGGGTCCACTGGAAAAGCAGCAAATGCTATTCATCACTGAGCCGTCTCTCCTCCCGGCAAGTCATTTTTGTATGAAACACGACTGGGTGGATGATGAAGCTGAGCGAGAGGCAGCAGAGAGAGCACATTTAGACAGACGTGAAGCCAGGTGGCTAAGGATGGGCCTGAGGAGGTCAGAGTAGGAAGTACAGCTCGGGTGAGGGAGATCTGAAGATCCCCACATGAGGCTGCGGCTTTATCTTAAGTGTGCAGAGATTTGGATGAGAAAGTGTCTTGATCCAGCCACTCTGGTGCGTATGAAAGTGGAAACAGACCACTTTTAAGATACGACTGTGTCCATTATGGCGGCTTACACAGGACCCTGGGCAGTTTAGCCTTCATTCGGACACAGGCTACTAAGGTCTTTGCACAAAACTTAACATGGTTGAATTTCTAGGTCAAAGTTATTGCTGGAACAAGGTGAAAGACAGATTGCAGATGTCACCAGTGTGGGACTGTTCACTACGGGGTAAGTGTTGATATGTAGTGCCCCAGAATAGCTATGGTCCAGGGAATTCCTCTGTCTGTCTATCTGAATGACCCTCTTTCTTGCATGGTGGATAGAGACGGGTGTGTGTATGTTAAAGTTACAGTTCATAGTCCCCAGAGAAATCCTGCCAAATTTGTTGGAAGGCACTCACCCACTGCAAGTCCTGAAGTCAGTCACAGCCATCGATCAACAGTCCAGGCCAAGCCTACAGGAAAGCAATGTGGATGCCTGGCTCACTAATACAAACATGTGACTCCCCATTTCCTAGCTGCACGCCTTCTGGGCTACGCCTGGACCAGTTGCGTTGCATGGCTGTCTGTCAACAGGAAGGCTGCAATTATGCGCAGTCTAGTGGCAGGTCTAATAACTGCCGTAATTTCCGAGTAGTGATGATTGTAATGATATTTTGAGAAATCTGCAACAACGGAATGAGATATGGAAATACACATGATTTCCACTGTCGACAACGTCTCCCGCCCTGCTGATGTCTGCAGCTGCTTGTCCGCATTCCTCACGGAAAGAAATGCTGGATCCCCGTCACGGCCCAAGAAACAAGGCTGTTCTTCTGCCACTCATCCCCCCACAGAGCCCCTTGAGCTTGGGGTGTGCGGACTCGGTTTGGGGCACTTGCTCCAATGCTTGGTATGTGTGGAGCCACCCAGGAGAGGGTGTGGTGGGACATTTCCCGGTGAGGTGTGGAGCAAGCACCTGTTAGCCCAGGCTAGGACGCAGACGGATCAGAGAAGTGATTCCACCCCTCTGGTTTAGCAACTCAGTGGGTTTACCGAGCAGGGACAGGGTGAAGGCAAACACTCTGCTCCGAAAGCCGGGTCCCTGGAGCTCCCTGGACAACTCAAGGCAGTGTGGCTGCTCTGGCTGGAGTCCTTTCTCCCCAGCAACTGCCAAGGCTCATATAACCCTGGTATGGAGCCTTGATGTGGAAGACTTTACCTATTTACTAAGTCTGTACATTTCTTTATGCCCTGAGTCTTATCAGGTGCCTACAAGACTGAATGTTTCCCTTCCAGGAAACTGTGTCCAGCACAGTCTGAGGAGGACAGAAAGTTCTGTTCCCATGGCATCCTTGCACTTTAGCCCCTTCCTGATGTCACTCCACACACCCCTCCTGACTGGCCTCAGCGCTCCTGTTCCTCTCAGACTCCACTGAGGAGACTAAACCACGTCTTTACATATCACCACATGGCGAGGAAAGAGAAGCTGGCACACAGCAGCTTCTCTCGGTGCCCATGGTGGAAGAACAGACATAAGCACCCAACACGCTGCCCCTTCCACAGGGTCTCTCTTCAGAGTCAAAGCGAAGCCGTTTCTA